TTAACATTTTGGTTCTGGGTTGCGCCCTAAGGGGCTTTTCTGCCCCATCAGTATTCATGAGCTTTGATGGAAAATAGCAGTCACCTGCCTCTGTTAGAGAACTATCTTCTTGAAAGATATGACATTGACTTCTGTTTCAAGTGGAGGGTCCAGAATCTATATACCCTTGCAAGAAGGAAATAAAGATCAATGTAAGAATTAAAGCTGTTCCAATATTTTTTAAATTGAGGTAACATTGGTTAATAAATAATACTATATGAGTTCCAGGTATAAAGCATTATAATTCACTATCTTTATACACTGCAAAATGCTCACCACCAAATGTCGAGTTTCCATCTGTTACCATAGAATTGACCCCCTTTACCCATTTCACCCTCTCCCACTGCTCCAGTGGTTTTGAACAATTTGCCAGGTTTCTCTTTTTGCATTTTTAAGTTTTTTTGTTTGTAGGGGAAGAAGGGTTCACCCAGGTAGACATTGTTGGATTATAAAGTTCTCTGAGTTAATAATGATGTGTAGAATTTTATAGACCCTTTTCTTCTAAAATGTGCTGGATTTAATACATTATAAGTCCATTTTGGAAACTTTAAGCTCTGCCTGTGAATATCTTGGAGAAGTCAGATGTCACCAGAGTCCCTCTTTTCCTCCCCTTGGCCAGGAAGGATATGCCCATTGGTCAGAGGCCCCTACCAGCTTGTTTTTGTCTCTTTCAGAGCACTTACCAGATTCTACCTTGTGTTACTAATACACTTTCTCCTTTTCTTCCCCTCTCCACCCGCCCACTTAGGTGACCCTGCTAGTGGTTCTCAACCTGCTATAGAGCCTAAGACCATCGGAAAACACAGATACTTACATTACGATTCATTAACTGTAGCACAATTACAGTTATGAAGTAGCGACGAAAATAATTTTATGGTTGGGGGTCACCACAACATGTGGAGCTGTATTAAAGGGTCGAGACAGTAGAAAGGTTGAAAGCCACTGCTCTAGAGTCTAGAGAGTAGCTGATAAACTCCGTGAGGGCAGAGGTTCTGTGTCCCTTGATCTTGTATCCTCTGAAGCCCCAGTGGGCTGCTTTCTCCTTAGGGGCTTTGTGTGGAGTTGAGGATTTGGCTTGGGGCAGCGGTGGGATTCCCTGAGAGGTCAGACCAGGCTGCAGCAGCCTGGGGCAGGCGAGTTGCTGCTCTGTACTGTGTCCAGTGAGAAGGCCTGGTTTCTCCAAGTAACTCCTTCACCTTAAGACGCGTGGCCCTGGGCAAGGCACCGCTTCTCTGAGCCTCTCTCAGTTCTAAGGAGGAATGCCCGCTTTGACCATTCACATGGATATTGTGAGGGCCAGATGGCCAGATGCTCAGGAAAGGAAGAACCCATGCTAATTCCCCCATTCATCTAGTAGTTTTATCCAGGACCCACATTAGTAATATTTCCTAATAACTGGATTTCCTACCCCAATCAGTGGCAGACTTTTAAAAGAAAAAATAGGTTAACCATTGGGAATTAAAACTTTTTTACTACTGTCTTGCCCTATTAGAGAGTATATTATGCAATACAAGATTTTTCTTGATCATTTAAATCTTCCTGGTCTATCACTTATTCTTCTATAAGTGATATTCTTCTAGTAATACCCTTCAGATTTTTTAAATAATTTTTAAATTCTTTAAATTGACTTTAGAGCAAGAGGAAGAGAGAGAGAAACATCAATGCGAGAGAGAAACTTCTATCTGTTGTTTACAACCTGGGTATGTGCCCTGACTGGGAATCAAACCCGAGACCTTTCTGGGCAGCAGATGATGCTCCAATCACCTGAGCCACACTGGCCAGGACTGATACCCTCAGGATTACTTAGCAGCACATAGATCCTCGCCCTAACACTAAAGAATCCCAACCTATTAAGGTTTTTAGGGCATGTGACCTCTTTTATGTAATTTATATAGTTTTTTAAAATAGTTAAAGTACAAAATATTTATACTCTTTTTGTTAGAGGGAGGATGGTTAGTCTTATTTCTTGTACTTGCTTTGGAGTACTCCATCTTTTTTTTCTTTTTTCTTTTTTCTTTTCTGCTTCTAATCTGTAGCCGGTTGGGAAACAGGGTAATGAAGCTTAAAATAAACCAGGTAGAGTGAGAATAAAGAGCTTGTGAGTTGGTTCTGTGGCATTCTCTGGGAGAGGACCGAGAGCTTCATGGTGCTGTCCTCGCTTTGGATACCACTGCGTGTGTCCCGATTGTCTGCCATGCTCTAGGTCACATGGCAGCTTCACATACATGAGGATGATACTCTCTCAGAGTTGGGTGTGCTTGTATGAGGCCTAACTGTCCCTTAAGTATGGTATAACCGAGCCTTGGGAGTTGATTAGAATTAACTTCCAGATTATAGCTGTTTTGGTCATTTGGGGAAGGGGTGTAAAACTGAAGTACAGAGACCCCAGGATAATTTTCATGGCTAATGCTCACTGAATTGAACTGTTAGGACAAAATCTAGAAGGGCTCTTTCCTGTTACCTCTCTCAAAATATCTTCAGAAGACCCAGCAGAGGTTCCAGGACAAGGATAAAGGATTTGAAAGTCTCAGAGCGAGCACCTCACTACTGAATCAGGAGCCTCTTTCTGTTCATTTCATAACTCTGGCGATGAGAGGCTTCGGTTTCATTCAGGTCACCTCCATTAATGCCTTAGGACAGAGTAGAAACCTGGGGTCGGGGTCCCTAAGCACAGTAGGCTGGATCATTTGCTCCAGTGTTGGACAACTTCCAGAGCGTGGGGACAAGGCAGGCTCCTGGCTTCCCTGCTATCACCCTCACGCACCCCCCCCCCACACACACACACAAACACACACACAAACACACACACAAACACACACACACACACACACAAACACACACATAAACACACACACACACAAACACACACACATACACACTTACTCCTACTCAGCTCGTTGGTTACTCCAGTGGCTTTGCTTGAGAATCCGGCCATGTTTCTCTGTAAAAGTGGTGGGGACAGTTAAGATGAATATTATACCTGTTAGTAGTAGTAACTTCCACTTGCTGAGTGAGTATCTAATAAGTCCCGGGAAGTTCTAGACACTTTACAAAACTCCCTAACACTTCTCTGAGGGAGGTGATATTATAAATAACGAAGTGTGTGCAGTGCTCTTAACACAGCACGCGCCTGACTTCCATGGCATTTCCTGAGAATGTGTGCTCCGTGGCAGCAGGCACCTCGTTGGGTCGCTCATTCACTGCTGTATCACCAGGGCCTCTGGCAGTGCCTGGTGCATAGCAGATGCTCAGCAAATGTTTGTTGAATGAATCATAGATGTTAGTTGTTAGCCCCATTTTTACAGAGGAGCAAACCAAAGCTCAGAGAGGTTTAGTGATTTAGCCAGGTCAGAGAAGGAAGTGAGCCTCTGAGTCGGGATGGGAACCAAAAGCCTGTGCTCCTAACCTTTTCCTCCCCCCACCTCCCTAGGAGGCGTGACTGTGGCAGGAAATAGTAAATGCCTGGACATGCCCCTGAGCAGGGAGCCCTAGGATGTGTGATGTCTGTGCACTGGGTGATTGGGAAGATGGCCTTGCCTCTGGGAACTGGAGCTGGGATGCCACCTGCCTGAACTCCTCCTCTGACCTTGGGGCACTGCAGGGTCCCTCCCCCTCCCCCAGGCTGCTCAGCGATTTGTCATCTGTGAAACCTAATTAGCACAGCTTCCATTTCTACAATCTTTTAACCCTTTCATTGATTGTATGGCGCTGGCTCCCTTGACAGATTTCTGCCATGGCTCTGATTATGCTGATTTTTAGTCTGCATGATCTGAAGGAATATGATTTTAGAATGTAATTCCAATTAACCAAAACCAATGTGGGAGGGAAATCACGTGTGCTTTGGGAGAGGCTGATGAATTGCAAGTATATACAATTTTATGATAGGAATCTCAGTGGAGTCCTCTCCTTTGCCTTGATTTGCATGGATAAGACATTATATGCTTCTTCTTCCATTGTTTAAATGACTAATGAGGTTTGTTGCTTTTCCGGTTTTAATTTGAAAGTGTTTTTTATCTGTCACCTATATTTAAACTCCTGGGCACTGTTTTGTAATAATATCCAAAGAGACCATAACAGCACAGATTATACATTTGCTGACTTTGTGTTTAATGTGGACTTCTGTATAAGTAGATGCCACATTTTCAAGCTAGAATGATGGTGAGAAGAAATACAGTCTCTCTCTGACCCATGGTGCGATCCCGTTCATTTACATTACAGGAGAGTATACTTGGCCAGAAAGAAAATTATTAACCCCTTTAGCCAAAGCGATATTCCTAGGTATTTACTTAAATAAAGCTTGGGTTCTTTCCTTCTTAAGTGAAGGTAACTGTGTATTTAAGGATTCAGGAAAATGCTTTCCAAGGTCCTTTTATCCTTTGTGTTTGCTATCGATTCCTGCTTGTTTGTAGAGTCATATGGGGCCTTAGGACATAAATATTAGATACCTGCCCCAGGCTAGACAGTATTCAAGTCATCCTCAAAAAGCAACTCGCTTCTTTCTAGAAATCTTAAGAGAGAAAAGCATCCTTGGGGCATCATTAGAATGGATCATTTACTTGAGAAGTTTTTCCTCATATCTAACCTAACGTCTTTCTTTTCTGGTCTTGTTCAGAAAAATAAAAGTAGGAAAGAGTTCCAAACACACCCTCTTCTATGTTTTATTAAGAAGGTTTGAATAAGTATTGATAGATATTAGCATTTGTGACTCTGGCTTGAATAAATATTGATATTGATATTAGCATTTCTGACACTGTGGTGTCAAAAATAATCAGCCCACTTTCCCTGTAGTGCTTTAGAGAAATGAAGGGAAGGGGAGGGAAAAGGGAACAAAAGCCGGTTATGACTTACTTCAAGGCTCTCAGGCAGCTAAGGAATGGTTCTGATACCTTGTATGTAGACGGGTTTGTTACCTTAAGATGGTGGGAACTGTTGTGAACTTATTTTTAATTGCTTGTTTCTAGGTGCATTTTGACCAGTTTAAGGAAGCGTTAATACTTATCTTGTCCAGAACGCTATCAAATAAAGAACACTTCCAGGAGCCAGGTAAGGACACCAAGTGTTTTCTCTTTGTTCCCCTTTCAGAGCTGTGCAGGGAGGAATGTGGGGACCTCGAAGCATGTCTGGGAGAGATTTGGGGCATCTGCCTGTCCCAGATTGAGCAGTTATTTCCAGTGGCTTGTCTTTTGATATTATCTTAAAAGCCTTGCAGCTGTTGAACACTAAAATGAGACTTCCTACAATAACAGCGATTTGGGAAAGAAATAATTGGATTGTTCCTAGGCAATATGTCAGATGGTGGGCAATAACTCATATCATTCGGATGATACGTCCTCTGCCCTTATTTCCCATGTACATGGAAAGATACGCTTGAGGGAGAGGGGAGTTTTGCTGAAAGAAGGGTGGCCAATCTACAGATAATCATATTTAGTTCCCAGTGAATGGATAACACTCCACTGTAGACATGATTACATTTAATATAATTGTTTATCTCCCCCCAGCTCAAGTGAACGTTTTTGAGGACCATTTGATTCATGTTTGTATTTTCAGGGCCTAGTAGAATGCTTAACCCACAGTAAGCATTCAAATGTTAATGGCTTTAATATGTTTCATTGAGTTTTAAAAAGGCACCGGAGATTATAAAACACATTCTTTTATGTATATCTAAGAAGAAAACTTGTTGCCAATTATTGTAAAATGGAATCAATTGTAAGACACATCCTAATTTCAGTGTTCAAATCTAGGTGTGTATTTGTGTGTGTGTGTTGTGGGGGTGGAGGGGGTGAGGGGTAGGAGGAGGGCAGTGTGAGATAATCAATGAAATATGATAAACATATAGTAAGGGGAAGTTTAAACAGTGTTGAAATTTGAATTAAGTACAGTCCAGTTTTATCAAATCAGTGGTTATTGAGCTAGGGCTACAGATGACTATAATGGGGTATGAGGGAATTTGGAGTGGTGGTGATGAAACTGTTTCATGTCTACACTATTGGTGGTAGTTAACAGATTTCATGAGTTTTTTTCCAACCCACAAAACTGTCCACTAAACGGATGGAATTTTACTCTGTAAAGATTTTTACTTATCTTAATAAACTCTACTTTTCAAAGAAGAACATCAAAAATATAGTCCAGTTTTTGAGTCTGAGGAGAAATCATTAACGTTTACCGCTACAAGGAGTCATTCAATGTGACCTATTTAAGCGAAGCACAGATGGGAACTCGTTTCTTATCCTCTCTGATGATCCAGTTCTTCGTCCACCCTCTGAAGTGCTCCGGATTCGTGTCACATGTATGAATGCTGTGGTTAGCGCTGCTGGATTCCGGGTCTGCTCTCCCCCTTTTGCATATGGTGACCACCCCGTGAAGGCTATCGCTAGCCTGAGGCCTGCCAGGGCCTGGGAAGCCCACAGTGGGCCTGGGAGGGAGGTTGTCACCTTCCACACTAACATTAGAATTTCTGGGGGCGGCCACGCTGGAACATGGACTTTTGCTCTTCTGGGGTCTCCTGTTTTATTGGTGTTTTCCCTCATTTAAGGTTGTCTGTCATCTTGACAACAATAGTGCAATATGCAGGGTCCCTGAATAGAGCTATGGTGACATCACATTGTAGTTAATGTGAACATAGGTAATGGAAGCATAAGTTCCTTCCATATTATCCTGGAGACTGGAATGTGCTTTTATGCAGGTTTGGAAGGGGCATGCCTGTTACTAGTCCAAATGATCCTCTTGCTGCCCTTTCTTCAAAAACCCGTGCTGTCCCTTAAATTATAGACCATGTCTTTGTCAGGCTGGAGAGAACTCCGCCATTTTTCATGAGCAAATGGAGGCCTGAAGAAGGACATAGCTGAAATTCTCACAGATAGTGGCAGAGGAGGAGGCTGACGATGTATCGCCAGGGGGTATGACTTCAGGAGCCGTTAGGTTCAGGATGTTGACCCTCAGATGGGTGAGCTGGGGATAAACCCAGCCTTAGTCAGGGCAACCTGGCCTGGGGGATTCTTACAGAGACAGTAGGAAGGCTTGAATAAGAGTGAGCTTTACCTGATCGTTAGTGCCGGGGAGACCTGTGCCCTCAGTGTTATTTGGCTGTTGAGCACTTCATTCATCTTCTACCAGGAGGGCTGTGGTATTTTCTTCTTGCCTTTTGAAATCAGAGGATCTCCTAGACTTTGGAAGGTGACTGAAAACATATGAGGGCCATAATACATACATAGCCTTGGAAACTGAATGGGTCATGAATTGATATTTCATAACACCTATGGTTTTTATGCATTAGAAATCCAAGATGCTATACCAAATCGTAATAGAAAAACCAGCTTGATGTGATGGAAAGAGCTTACAGCCGGGAGGTTATGAAAGACTGTCCTGGCCCTTTAAGTGAGTGGTCACTTTGTATGTAAAAGTGTTTGTACTGGAAATACTTAGAATAATTTCGGCTTATAAATACTTAGAATACTTTCGGCTCCAAGATTTCATTGTGTTGTCTCCTAATAGCTGAACGACATTATCTACTTTTTTTAAAAAAACTTAGCTTTTTGTTTCTGTAAGATTTTACCAAACATAAGTTGACACTATCAAGTTTTGCTTCCTAAGACAGATGCCCAATATGTGACATACTATCATATCCCCCTAATAAAAGGCAGTTATCTATAAATAATACAAAAACAAAGCTATAATAGGATTTGAGAGATGATGGAATTATGTCATTATTTCCATAGTCTTGGGTTCTGCCATTTATATCTTCTTTCAGGTACAGTTTCTTTATGTTTAGATCTAGTTTATTTTCAGCATCCTTTTAACTCTGATATTTATAATTCTAAATTTTAGGAAGAGAGCATTTTCTTTAAAAAGCAAAAAATAACCACCACAACAATATGACAATATAATGAAAAATACTGAAATTCAGATAAGGGCAGAAAAATGGATTGGGGTTGTAGGGAATCATTTTGTAAATTCCAAACTGATTAACATTGCCAGTGGCATAACTCCCTCGTATCTACATCTACAATTTCATTTTTTAATTATTTTCCTGGAAGAAGTGAGGGGCAGCAACTTAATTGTTAGTCAGTTTGCTATGGCCTTGGAGTAGAGGGTGTTTGGATGGAACTGCTGGCACAGGCTGAGAGCTGCGTAGCATCAGCATGCTGCCTGAATCTGCCACCGGAGAGTTTGTCCTCATTTGATGAATCTTGCGTTAGATTTTCTGTTCTATAGTCCATGTTAGCATAGAGCAGCCGTTCCTTTCTTTCCCTGAAATGGTTAATGTAAAATATCTTTCCTTTGTTTATCTGGTGAGGGAAAACTCAGGTTCAGAAAAGCCAAAGCATTAGAATAATAAGACTAGACATGGTTTTGGTTCTTTTGTAATAAACATTCCTAATTCTAGGAACTACCCTACTTGTAATTATTTTCCTTATATTATGAAGAAGTTATGATGATAATAAACAGAATACCCTTCATTTAGTTGGCTAATGTGCCTTAAAACAGGTCTGATGACCCAACGTTATACTAACTAGATCCTGAATTGCAAGGATTGAAGATTTGGGTTTGTACCTATATTCAGAGGCCTTGGGCCAGGCCCTTCTGTTTTCCTAAGAGTTATTACACACAGGTAGCCCAACAGGCATGTTCTGCTGCCCTCTCTTTGAGTGATAAGATAATGAAGAATTGGATCTGTGAGATGCTACCAGTAAAGATCAGAACATTTCTCCATAAATTAAAAGCAAAACAGCCCTGGCTGGTGTGGCTCAGTTGGTTGAGTGCCATCCCATGCACTGAAAGGTTGTGGGCTTGATTCCTGGTCAGGGCACAGGCCCAAGTTTTTTTGGTTTCGTTCTGGCTTCTCACATCAGTGTTTCTCTCTCTCCCCCACTTCCTCTCTCTCTAAAATCAACAAAAACTTTTTTTTTTTTTTAAGCAAAATAAAGCCACTACCACTATCACTACCAACTACAGAGGAGAGTAAGGGGCATCAGTTCATGAGGTCAGGGGAAACAGATAACGTTCCCACCTAATGGTGGTCAGGTAAAATGATAGGACCTCCTGGAATTATGAAAAACATTAGGGACCAAAAACTGTAAAAATGCCTTTGGCTAATTATTACACACTCTCGATTTTATACTATAGAAATAATTATGAATTTGTACAAGGACAAGTATATAAGGATAATCATTTAAAGTAAATATTTGATAATGAATTGGTTAGGCAAATTATGATGTATCTGTATAATCAAAGCTATTAAACTGTGCTGTAGAAAATACTTATTATGATGATGACTTTACTAAGGGTAAAAAAGCAATCTTTAAAAAATATATATGATGTGTGCAAAAACATATTCATGTTATTTAAAATGAAATCAGTACGGGTGGTGAGAATTTTTATAATGAAACAGTTTACTTGGGAGTTCTGCTGATGTTGTAAGTTTATTTCAACCTCAGTGTATGAGAAGGTTTCACACGGGGAATGATCGACGATCGTTTCTACAGGGAGTGTGAGAGCTTTTGCTGTGTCCCTTTCACATCAGCCCATTGCCGGAGGGAGAGGAAGAGAAAAGGAGGCCAATAATGAGATGGAGGCAGCTCTAGTTTCTGAGATGATGGACTGGATACCGTCACTGTGCATTTGCCACTGCTCTTGCCTACCACACAAAATGAGGTCAAGGAAACTTGCTGGGAGATTGAGGGCTGTGAGATTCTCCCTGACTTGGCTGCACTGGGGCCCCATGGGGGTGCTCCCTCTGACCCCTGGCTCCTCCTGGGAGAAGGCTGGAGAAATAATCCTATCATCGTTATCTACTCAAAAGGGTTTTCTCTGGACTGATCTTCACCCGCAGTCACTCTCCTGCGATGCTAACCTTCCCTCCAACATCCCTCCCAGGCAAGGCCATTCTGAGCCACCCCATTACCTCTCTGTCTGGAGCAGCTGTGTTCGGCTAGATGCATGTTGAGACTGATAGGAACTGATGCCCTTGCATCCAGGGAGGACCTGAAAGCATCAGCAGAGAGGAGGAGCTGGGAGCACTGTGGAATGGGCCTGGAAGCCGCTGCCCCAGAGGGCTGTGTGCACACAGTGTGGGTGATGGCCTTATCTGTGAGGACTTCCTGAGGGGCTGGGAGCACGCTGGGAGGCAGAAGGAATGGTGGGTCCTGTTGGGAGGCTTTTCTGATGTCCTTTTTATGTTGTTCGTTCTCTCTTGGCCTTTCCCTTCCCTTTCCCTCCTTGGGACAGCCCCACCTCATTTCTTTCTACCACCCCATTCACCTCTTCCTTCCTCTCCTCCTTTCCCCTCTCCCACGTTTCCTTAAGATCTCGGTCTCCTCCCCCATCTGTTCCTCCTGGTCTGACTTCCCCTGCCCTCCGTTAGCCTCTGGGTCTCTGCCCATCTTCTGTTTCCCCCCCTTCTCTGTCAGTCTCAACCTGTCTCTATCTCTCTATGTCAAGCGTGTCAAACTCATGGTTCATGGGCTGCATGCTGCCCACAATGAATATTTTTGCAGTCCAGCCAATGTAACGGTATGTAAGAAACGTTTTAATAAAAATGTTATAACTTAATTTTTACAATATCCTGTTAGACATAATTATTAATAACAAAGTACAACATTCGCTAATGACTGGTTACAGTAATCATGTGGCATTCATTTTCTTTACTCGCAGGCACACCATTTCTCCCCACTAATACTAGCAGAGAATATTTTAGCAGCCTGATGGCCACGTCATTAGTCTTGGTCTAACTTGTTTGGTGTGTGTAACAGGAAATATTTCACTTTCGGAAATAAGAAAAATAAGTTTATTTGTGTTACACTTATTTATTTGTGCAGTTATTAAGTGTCTGGTAAGTTAATGTTCAAGAAAATATTACTTTCTATTAAAATGTTCTATTATTTTATATTAAGGATTACTCATTTATTTCAGCCCTTTGTATTCAGCATGTCTCTATTGAAATAAACCTATGTTTCTATGAAAATTGAAGCTTTTATTTTTTTGCAGTCCACATAAACTTCAGCCTTGTTCATTTGGCCAGTGTTAGCCTTTGAGTTTGACATGTGTACTCTGTCTTTCTCCATCTCCCTCTTTCCCTCTCCCCCCCTCCAGTCTCTTCCCCTCACCCCCCTTTCTCTCTCTGGCAGTCACTATTGATATGTCTTGGTCTCCCCTTTTGTGCTTTCTCCTCCCTGTTCCCTCTTGTAGAACCAGGTAGGCTGCCTCTCACTGTGTGATACTGGGTAAGGCGCAGACATAGTGGGCGAGGAGGTGGGATGTGCTGTGGGCTGGCCGGTGCTCATTTGCTGCATGACTGCCCTCTCCCAGGGAAGCTTCCGGCGTGCTTTACCATTAACCATGGCCCCCGCCTCATTTCTGTCTTCTCTCCCATAGACTTCAGGACTCCTGTGAACTGGGCAGCGTGGAGTGTGGAGAGAGAGCCTCAGACGAGGGGTGCCCTGTGCTGAGGTCCTTTGGAAGGAAGTCCAGGCCTGGGAGTGCTTTCCTGGGCTCACTGAATGGGGCAGGAAGGGAGGCAGAGAGCAAGGCCCTGCGTGAGCAATTCCAAAATAAGAATATCAGCACCAAAAAGGCAGGGCTATCTTCTGCCTCCTGGAAATATCCTCATTTTTAGGAACAAGGAATTTTGATTTTTTTTAAAAAGATAAAATATCCATATTATCCCTCAATAGGTACAAGATAGCACCATGGCAGGTGTTCTGTAACCAGGAGCTCAGTGACCCGGCCTCGTACCGGAATGCATCTTGAAACTCTGTTTTCACTTCCCACAATGTGCTGGGGATGCTTCTTCGTCCCAGCTCTTCAGCTTGTGTTTTTGTGCCCAGAGCGTTGATGGATTGAATGACTGGTGTTGAGGCTTTCTGGTAACTGTCTCGGCTTCCTCTGGGGCCCTCATCGCTTTGCTTCTGGCTTCAGGAGAGTTCAGCATTCCACTTGACACCCTGAGTCACCCTGGGGGCTGTGGCGGTTCTGGGAGAGGGCACTGCTCCGGCAGAGTAGGGGAAGGAAGGGAGTTGGGTCAGGGTTGGGGGTGGGAGAGTGAGTGTCATTCATTTTCTCTGCCTGCAGATGGCTTATCCCGAGGCTTATCTCACTGACATTGTATTTCAATCTTATAAGTATGGACAGACGTTCTGGTCACAAAGTCATACCTGTGCCAGGCGGCCTGTGCTGCTTCTGGAAGGTGAACATGATCACAGGTGCCTCTTCTTGGGACAGATGAGATGTGGAGTAAAGAATGTGGTGTCTGGGCTACCAGATTTTGTTTCATTTCTAAGGCTAGAAGCAACGGTTTGGGGTTTTTTGTTGTTGTTGTTGCTTTGTTTTTTGTCTTCTGAATTCTAATTAGATTTTTAAAATGCTTTGCCCACCTGCACTTTAGAGACTGTGAGTTGCTTCCAGATTACTCCAGCAGTTTTTAGAAATTGAATCAAACCAACTGTTTGGTTTATGGAATAAAGCCTAGACCAGTGGTTGGCAAACTCATTAGTCAGCAGAGCCAAATATCAACAGTGCAACGATTGAAATTTCTTTTTTGAGAGCCACATTTTTTAAAACTTAAACTTCTTCTAACGCCACTTCTTCAAAATAGACTCACCCAGGCCGTGGTATTCTGTGGAAGAGCCACACTCAAGGGGCCAAAGAGCCGCATGTGTCTCATGAGCCACAGTTTGCGGACCAGAGGCCTAGGCCATCAGATTAGGTCAGGTAGGATGCGTCTTATAATAAGGTCTCCAGGGTGACATCCCAGACTCCTCCAGGCAGGCAGGGCTTGCCTGCTTTCCTTCGAGGCCCGTTTTTACTTGTAAGTAGTGATGACAAATAGGAGACGTGGAAAACGGGGACGTAGGGGAAATGACGTAGATGTGGGACAATCCAGGTGGGATTATGAAGATGTTCAAGGGAATGAAACACCCAGAGCAGGGCACTCCTTTATGACTGTGTTTGTTCCACTGGCGTTTCCCCTTTCACCCTGGAGCTCATGACTGGGACATTTACTTACAGTTATGTCAGGGGAAGAAGAGGATGTAAAATGGCCCATAGATAAAGGTGTTCCAGTATGAAGCCCAGAACTGTGTAAGTTACATCTGGATGCACGCATAAGACACATGAACTCTGCCCCAGGGCTGCGGGTCTACAAGCCTTCACTGGGCATGGTGCGGGAGGGGCGGGCACTCTCCACTCAGGTGGGTCCGTGTCTTTAGGTCCCCATGAGGCCTGCTCCGTGGTCTGCTGCTGTGCACTTATAAAAGGCCTGACGGAGGTTGACAGGAGAATAATGGAGTTTTCAGATACTTAACAACCATGACTGTTGACCATGTATGTTCTCTCTGGATCTCCTTTTGCCCTCTTTTCCTTTTTTTTTTTTTTTTTTTTAATCTTGTAAGTACAGTGATGCTGGTGCTCTGGATAGGAGAGGGATGTGTGAGTGTGTAAATTCAAGAAGTAACTTTTTCATTGGTGCGATTAGCCTCATTTATTGGTCACCTGGGTAAGTTGGGAAATTCAGTATGAGGAAACCCTAATACCCCCTTTATCCTTCGTGCGTGCTAATATCCCTATTCCAAAGAGATGGTACTGTTTAATAAAATTTCTCTGAAAATTGACTTTGTGATCTATATGTACGTTCTGTGAAAAATGTTTAAGTTTGCTCAAAATTATATTAAAATAAGTAATTTTTTTTAAAGTTTCTGGCAACACAAAAATAGGTAAGTGAATAGATTGACTCAAAACCCATAGGATTCCTAATGGTTCACAATCCGTTACCTTCCACTGCTTAGAAAAAGGCTATTTCAAATCTATCCCTGCTTGCCGCGCAGCATGGGTATTGAGTGGTAGACAGCGAAGGAGTCATGTCTTGCACGGGTGGTTTGGATTGAATTACAGTGGGTTTTCCAACATGGTTGCTTGGACCCACTGCTGGCTCTCCTCGGGGGAAAGTGTGGCGAGCATTCGGAGCTCCTGGGCCACTTCCGTCCACAGACCATGGCTGTTCTCCCGCTGGGAAAATCCTGCGTCACGTTTTCTGATGTTACCGTTTTCCTTTTCATCTTTTCCAAGCCCCCGCCATTCCTAATGGTGTATCTTGTTGTCTGTCAGTAAAATGTAAGGATATGTCATAAATTAAGGATGGTTCTGCATTGCCTCTTATCTGACTAGCATCTGTGGGTGTCAGCTGCCAGCAAGTAGCTCGGGTGTCTGGGCCGATCCTGAATACTCACAGGCTGACACACTCTCTTCTGATAAAAGGTACCTTCCTATGTGCATGCGGGTTTCAGTATAAATGTCGTATGCCTCAGTGCAACTGTAAGAGAATCGCTCTCCTTAATGCAATGACTTGGTTGGACTTTGAGAAAGCTGGATATAAATATCGCTAGAAATTATAGAGCAAGCATAAGTACTTCACTCTGGGCTCTGCTGAGCATTTCCAGGATGCTTCTGACTGCATCTGTGAAATCTGAGCTGATGCAGAGGAAGGGCCATGGGGGAGGGAGACTGAGATAGTCAAACCAGGTCACCCGTCCTTCCAGGGAAACTACCAAGGAATGGCGAACCCCTCACATGGTTTTAGTGATGATAAAGGAAAGGTTTTGCACTTCTCATTCTTATCTAATCAGCCACCCTCCTTTTGTTGGTGTATGTATAGACCTCCTCTACAAATCTACATGCATGAGTTCAGGCATGTCTAGTTAGGGCTGTCATGTTCAAACAGAACAGATTTTTGTTCTCCAGAGAGACATTCTGTCTGTGCGGATGAGAAGAGTCAAAGTATTGCCAGTCTTCCGTATACTAATGAAGTGTTGTCTTCTAATTCTGTGCAACAACAACAGAAAACAAGCCTATATCTAAGATGACATGTGCCTAGAGTGAAGTATTTGTTTTATTGCTTTAAAGCTGTTAAAGGGAAACGGATAGTTTGTAGTGGTGGTGGTGGTGGTAGTGGCGGTGGTCATGATGATAAAGGTGATCATGATGGTGATGGTGGTGGTGGTGGTGAATGTTGAACCTGTGACACATTATGTCAAAATGCTGAAGTCCTTTAAGGTCAAGAGATAACTCTCTCTTGATGCATAAGTCTTTTTGTTTTGTACACACCGAAACTCTTGAAGAAGGAAAAAAACATAGTGCACCACTTTTCCTAATGCGGTTTCACATTTGCTATTTAATTCCACAGCGTTTAATTTGATAATGAGCTCTGGATGCCAGATTTCGTATAGTCGATGAGCTGTCCTTAATTGATTCGGAGCTGCTATGTCAGTTCCTTTGTTCTGTCATCCTGCTTGTCTGATAGATCAGGAAGGAGGATGGTTAACAAAGGGGCCCCTGAGGCACGAGAGGGGTGCGTTTCAGACTAGTTGGTGTGAATCCTAACTTTACAGTGCTGATGCGGTGGTGGTTTTATCATGACTTTCTAAGACTTCCTCCAGGTGTCTCCTTGTTAGTATGATCGCTCCCTCTTCCTTTCCTGCAAAACAGCAGCTTAATACACAGAACAAATATGACCCCTGGCTTTGTCCTCATCTTCATTTCGTACTTCTAGCCCAATTCGCCCCTTCCGGCATTGCCTCTCTCCCATCATACGCAGAGAGGTACTGGGGTGCGGTAAATCCTTCAGGATTAGAAGCCGCGCTCAGCATTTGACCTGGTGGGTCACACACACCCCCGTCCACCACAGCTGGCAAATGGTGGCGGTTTATTTTGGGGCTGGTATAAGAGGCCGCGTCTGACGGCTGCGAGTGTCAGCTCGGGGCTGAGATCGTCCTGTAATGTGGCCTCAACTCCTGTCTCCTTGCCCAGACTGCTCCCTGGAAGCTCAGCCCAAATATGTCAGAGGCGGGAAGCGTTACGGACGAAGGTCCTTACCGGAGTTTCAAGAATCCGTGGAGGAGTTCGCGGAGGTGACCGTGATTGAGCCCCTCGAGGAAGAAGAAGAAGAAGAGGCAAGGTCTTCACACATCCCGGCCGATGAGCAGCATGAGGTAAGGCATGGGACAGACACAGCCATCCAGACCGCAGGCGTGGCTGGCCAGGACACTGCGTGTCTGTGATGCAGACAGGAAGCCTGGGGGAGTTTGTGGCTTTTCTCCGTTACCACCTGCTTGCTAGCCTTCTCACTTGCCTTTTGGACACACATGGCTAACCACTCTATTGTTTGAATGTTTTCATCCGTTTCAGCCTTGGGAGAGCTGATGCTTCTGTGCATGCTTTCTGTCCATACATTGTTTGGTTCAGTTATTTTCAGATGATCTGGTGTCTGCTACCTCTAGCTGTTCCTAGAAATAGATCTCTCCCCCATGACCCTGTCATTTTCAGTGGTGAAAAGCTAACCAGCCCCGTCCCCAAACAAGAAAACGGTGCCCGGGACAGTAGGACATGCAGGCAGTGTGTTGAGGCACTGCCAGAGCAGGCATCTTCTCTCTTGTGGGGGAAGCAGTTTAAAACTTGGTTCCTGTCACAGCTCTCAGCAGTTCCTCGGCACCAGGCTCGTCTGTCTGGCTCTCCAGCAGTCAGACGCACCTGCCTCCCTCATCCCCCGCCTTTTCATTTCACACGCTGCCATCGTGTACCAATAAAAGAGAAGCAGTAACAACATTTTCTTGATTCCTTTTTCCAGCCCATTGACTGGCATGCCATTTATAGGACGTGATTGAATGTGTCATGCTGAGCAAGCTCTAAACACTTCTTGCACATCCCAGCTCAGCCTGGGTTGCAGATATTTCAGATACTGATATAAACTGGAAAAGAGACCAAATGTCTGTAGGTTGTGGGTTGACTGTATGTGTGTGTGGTGTGTGTGTGTGTGTTCATTTCTGTCTAATGTCTATGTGCAGGTTACTATGACTTACAGGAAGCTTGCTCCATTAATTTCTCCAGCAATCAGAGAGCACCCTCTGCTTTCCAGAATACTCACAAACCCAGAGTAATGAAAGAGCCCAAGCCCTGAGCAGAAATGAAACTGGCCACAAGTTCTGCAGTTTAGATGACACGTGACTGGTTGGCCAATCAGAAGTTTGCACCATTTAAAAAAAAAACAAAAAACAATACCAGTTCTCACCCCACAAGTGAAAGAGCAGTGTCAAACCTGTGAGCCTGAACGGAAGGAAGGTAGCTAGAGAAGAGAGAGAGAAACCACGGAAGTGGTGTCAGAGTCGTGTGGTCTGAGAAGGGACATGAAAACAGAGAAGGCCGCCGTGAGAAGCAGGAAGGGAAATGCCGTCTGGAACCCGGAACGTCACGGCCCTGGGGGCCAGTCAGTCTGAGGCAGCGGCTCCTTCCCGTCTTGGCTCCGTGGGCTGGGCTGGGTTTCGGACCCTCTCCCGGGTCCCATTGAGAATGTAGATAGAGCCTTTTCCCCAGTGAAGCACACACATTCACATGCACCAACAGTTTGCATCTACAGTTTCAGGGAGGCCAGTAATTTGCATGCTTCAGTTTTTACAGTGTGGGTAATATTTATCTTGCTGTCAGGGAGGGCATCATTTTATTACACAAAGTCTGCTTAGTAACCCTGAGTCCTGTGGAATGTGTCTGAGACACCTCTCTATGGAAACATGGTTAAAACATGTCTCCACACTTTAGGAGGTAAGCTTTTATTAGGCAGAGAACACTTTTAAGACTGGCATCTCCCTTTTCCAGCTATTCTGAGTACCCGAGGCATTAGTATTTGGTGTTAAAAAATTAAATGATTACTTAGTTTTTTAAAATACATATTTTTATTGATTTTTAGAGAAAGAAAGGGAAGGGGAGAGAGAGAGAGAGAGGGAGAGAGGGGGGGTGGAGAGGGAGGAGAGAGAGAGAAACATTGATGAGAGAGAAAGTCATTGATTGGCTGCCTTCTGCACTTTCCCCACTGGGGATTGAACCTACAACTAAGGCATGTGCCCTGACTGAGAATTGAACAAGCAACCTCTTGGTTTCTGGTCATCTCTCAACCACTGAGCCGCACCAGCCAGGCTAATTACTTAGTTTTTAATAAGATAGTTTCTAGTTACCACCTGGGGATACCCAGAAAGTTCTCGGGCTGAGCTGATTTTGTTGCTGGCAGTATATTTCTTACAGCCTTGTTTTTTATCTTATCTACTGACTTCCAGCGAGATTTATTGTTTAAAAAGTGAGAGTCTGGTTTCATGTCTGAATAAAGATAAGAGTTGAGGCCTGAGTCTGGGCAAAAGATTGGAAGGGAGGGGACAGAGAACGGAGGGGAAGAGAGAAAAAGAGAGCGACAGACAGACATTGATGGTTGCCTCCCGCACACATCTCTAGCAGAGGCCAGATCAAACCTGAAACCCAGGTACATGCCCTTTATTGGGAATGGAACCCAAGACTCTTCGGTGCTGGGGCCAAGGCTCTACCCACCGAGAACACTGGCTGGGGCAGGTATGATCTTTTGATGCTAAATATAGAGGCTTTGGTGTCCAACTCCCACCGACAACCGAATAGCTAATAGAGGCCTGGAGGGGTCATTTCTCTGATGGTCTGCTTCCCGAGGACTTGGGCCTCGACTTCGATGGCCTGTTACATCTTCCCCAGAGAGCCTCCAGTCACCGCCTCTCAGCCTGTCTTTTTAAATTCGGGAATGTGGCCGAAACTGGTTTGGCTCAGTGGTAGAGCGTCGGTCTGCAGACTGAAAGGTCCCGGGTTCAATTCCTGTCAAGGGCATGTACATTGGTTGTGGGCACATCCCCAGTAGGGGGTGTGCAAGAGGCAGCTGGTCGATGTATCTCTCTCATCGACGTTTCTAGCTCTCTATCTCTCTCCCTTCCTCTCTGTAAAAAATCAATAAAATATATTTAAATTCGGGAATGTGGACTCAAACCAAAGCTCTTTGAGCTGTGTTTTTTTTTTTTGCTTAAAAATGAAGTATGTGGGGAGCAGAAGGGAGCCTGTCAGTGTTCAGATCAATTCATCGCTTTAAAAAATGAGAGCATCCTGTGTGACATTTTGGATGTTCTTGTTGGCACTAAGGCAGGCCAACCCCAGCTTCATGCAGTCCCCGTAGTCGAAGGTCACAGTCACGGACACCTGCAGCCTGCTGGCAGTGTCACCCATATGTTCGTCTTGTGCAGACTTCTGGGCCCGGATAGCAGCCCATTTTCCTGGCCCATCTCTACAGTAGCCTCAGTTTGGCCAACAGATGTCCACACGGGCAGCACGGGCAGCTTGGGCCTGTGTGAGAAATAGCCTCGTCCCTTCTGCAGAAGCTGTCCGGGTCTCCTCGGAGTGCCAGGTGGCCACCAATGGGGGAGCTGGAGAGGAAACCATTCTCAGTGACCTGTGGGATTTATTTATTCTTCACTCATAAAGCGTTCAGTTTGCCAGGCGTTCTTTATTGTACTGTTGACTTCTTTTTTCTTCCTTCTGGTTGCTTGAGGCCCTTTGGTCTCCTGCCCTTGGGTGTTAGGAATGTTTTAAATGTTTTATCAGTGGCTTATACTTCCTCGCAATACCACTGGGCCACACAGGTGGGGGGGGGGGGGACCATGGACGGGCTGGGCCTCCCCCAAGGGAATATTTCATGAGAAGCCAGTCAGACGGAGAGCAGGAGGCGGCTTCTTGGTTTTGATAGTGTGTTTCCTTTGACTCTGGATCCTGGCTCAGGAGCCATGGGACTTGGGCTGCCTTCCGGCTGCAGTTTCTTTTCTTTTCTTTTTCTTTTTTTAAATTTTTTTTTATTAAGATATTATATGTGTGCATACCTTACCAATCCCCACCCCACCCCCATTCCCAAACATGCCCTCCCTCCCCATAGTTTTTCCTCCATTGGTTATGCTTATATGCATCCATACAAGTCCTTCAGTTGATCTCTTATCTCCCCCATATTTCTGCTGCTCTCTGACATGCCTGAGGTTTTTGATGAAGACTAAAGCACGCGTACCTGCTGTCAGAAGTTAAATTGGGGTGGGGGGGGGCAGGGGGGAGAGAAGGTCTGGCTGTAGTTAATACAAGAGACTCATTTTAGCTCTAGGGTGATTCAAGTAATTATTTTGTGTATCTGAGGACTGGGTAGAGGTGGACTGTGGGAAGGAAGAGGGTCACAGGCGCCTGTAAAAGCTGTCCTCGTGGTTGGCTCGCTTCCTTCTAGGCACTCATCCTGGAGGGCTATGCGAGCAAACAGCCAGCTGAAGGGATAAAACCATACCCCCTCCGTCTCTCCAGGGTGATTCCACAACAGGGCAGTTTGCTAAAGGCTGACAGTTCATTCCGAGGCTCCGGGGTTAGTGGTTCAGAACCTTCTTCTGCGTCTTCCCTCGGAAGGCCTTCTCCCACCATGTCCATAACAATCACTCCAGATAATCCTCCGCAGTCATCCTTCTCTGCGTCCACCTGTAACACCACCCTTCCCCTCCCACCCACGAAAACATAGACACGCAGACCAGGGAGAGCGGTGCTGGGACAGGTTTTATTTTTAACGTGATGCCCCAGGCCTCCTCGGTGACAGCGCCTTGGACCGCCTCCCGGGGCCGTTGGGGGTGCCCCGTGGTGATGGGAGCCGAGGGTGAGCACCGTCGTGGTTCGTCTGCAGTGACAGACGCTCCACCACGCGGCCTTGACGCTGAATAGAATAGATGGGAATAAATCTCGTTGGGAGGTGGTGTTGATCATAGGCCACTTTTGTTTCAGTGCACATGTGTGAAAGCCCTCAACAAATAGTAAACATTGTATTGTCTGCATCCCGCCCTCCCCCTCCCCCAGCTTTATTGAGGCAGCTTGAATCTTTATGCCGAAACAGGAAATATGTCACCTAGCTATGCCTCCCCTACCGAGTTTAGTAGAGAAAGACCACTGTTATCTGCTGGGTTCTCAGCCCTGAAACGTGTATTATGGGACTTCATTTGGAAGCCCTGCAGCAAAATGTCCTAATTCACCAGGGACAGGTCGGTTCCCCCTCAGGCTGAAACTGGCCTCCACCTTCTGCTTAATGCGTTTATCTGGCAGGTGGGTCCCTCGGGAGTCTGCCCTCTCATTCTGGGTGGTATTG